AAGACAGATATTTTAAGAGTTGCCCAATGAATATGTAAACGTAGACGCAAAAAGAGAAATTAAAACAATTATAGACCAAAGTTTGAAAGGGAGATTATGTTTTCAAACAAAAATGTGTTTAATTAATAGTAAAATAAAATCATTTGTGCAACATGTTACCAGTGTAATCTATTAATAGAAAGCAACAATTTATCATTTCTTGTTTGTAATTTTTATACATTTAAAAATCATATATTCATTGAAAATAGTAAAATTATATTTAAATTATATGAAATAATGATATATCGGTTTTTTTCTCTTCTACTTTGTCTCAATCTCTCCATTAATTATATAATTTGGATACCACCCTCATTATCCATCATTTGGTGCTTTCATTGAGAAATTTGAGCAAAATCAAGTGAGAATCCGTCTTTAGCTGACAACATTGTGACCTGTGGCTTAATCACGGATGCACTCTCAATAATGATATATCGATCACCGAGTATATATTACTAAAATAAAGAAGATGGACAAAATATGACTTCTTATATGAATTGATTATATTAATAACTTTTAGTAATTATAACTTCATTTATCAAATCTTGCATTATAATAACCATAAAGAAGATGGACAAAATATGACTTCTTATACTCATAATGACTTGTCAAATATTTATTTATGAATATACTTTAGATAATATTTTAAGAACGCCCTCATAATTTATTATAGAATTCAAGTACTCCGCACATTATAATTTTTTTGAAAGGAGTACTCCGCGCATTATTGATGCTTCGTTGAACTCCATCATTCTCTGTCACCTTATGTAAATTTAGAAAATTCTTTTTGTACACATCCTAACACCGCCCTTTATTCCGTCTATGTACACAATCAATTCGTTTAAAAAAGTAAATATTTTAAAAAGTGTTTGCATATAGAGACATCTTGAGTATACATGCGCCTATGGACCAAGCTAGCTAATCCGGTTGATAAATATAGATGAAAGTTCTTGAAATATGAGTAAACAAGTTTTAAAATAATTCGATATGATTATAATAATTTTTTTTAAAAAAATAGGTGACATGTCAATATATGTACTATCATCTTGGAGTCATTACTTTCAAACAATTGCAATACTAGACCTTAACATAACAACATACTACGTATTACATTATTTTTCAATTATAACAGTAGGCCAGTAGCCACTCCTATTTCAAGAAGAAAAAACATACTCTTAGTAGCTCAATTTTGAAATCCCAAAACTATTTAATCCTATTTAGGACAATTTGCATAAATATAATCCTTCCCCAAAATACTATGGGGTTTTGCCCCCAATATTACTATATTAAAGCTAATTTTCATAAAAGTGACCACATTTATATTAAGACAAAAATGTGACCAAGATGCTTATTCATGTCACTGTCAGATGTAACTGTCACCACCACCACCAGTGTCACTACTGCCGCCGTCGGCCACAGTGACATCTCCGAAATGACATTTCCGCCCCAAATTCTGGTCATAGTGACACGAATACATTTACATCCTCTACTACCTCCGGGTGGTGACCGCCACGGCAACAGTGACGCCGCCACAATGACGCCACCACAGTGACCCCGCCCCCAACAACAACAATACAGTTTTCTAGCTGCATAGCCCAAGCCACCACTGCCACCACTGCACGTCCCCCACCGCCGCTGCCCTATCCACCGATGTCATCCTTGCACCATCCACCGCCACTGCCCCTGTTAGACCCACAGCCGCCACCTCTGCCACGTCCATAGATGTCGGCCTTGCCCCATACCAACCTGTGAAAGCCCACACACTAGCTCCCCAGTCCCCCAGCCACTATCCCGTGCACCAGATCCCCATCCAGCCACCCACTCCCCGCCCCTAGCTAACACTACACACCAGATCCTCATTTAGCCCTCAACCCCGTACTCCATGTCCATAGCCTCGCCCTCTGTCGTTCCCTCAGACCCTCTCCGACATCGAGGACAGCGTATCCGGCATTTACTGATCCAAATCGGAGCGGTTTTCACCAAATTTAGCATATCCAGAACCGGAGGCCCCAAAAATGGGTCATCATCTACCGACAAATTGAAGCCAGATCCGGCACCGGCGAAGATGTTTCCCATCGAGGACGATGGTTCCGGAGGAGGCACGTCCATCGATCTCGGATGACGGAGGGGGGCATTCGGTTTCGATTGCAGCCGATGGAGAAGGAGAAGAGTAGCGGCAGGGAGGCGGCGGAGGAAAGAGGCAGTCGGTCGGTTGGGTAGAAAGAAGAAGCAGGCGAAGAAGAACGGGCAGAAGAAACGTGAGATGCGGAAGATGCAAACGGGTGTTTGACTCACTTTTGTGTCCAAACTTAAATGGGTTATATTTTGGGAAAAACACATATATGGTCCCTTAGTTATCCACGAAATTAAAATCTCAGACCTGTATTTCTAAGATTGTAAATGTCACCCCTCAATTGTCCAAAATATTGTAAATGTGGTCCTTTACATAATGAAATGTACTCACGCCCACACTGTATATTTCACCCCTCAAAAGGACCACATTTAGAGCATTTTGGACATTTGAGGAGTGACATTTACAATTTCAGAAATACAGATCTGAGATTTTAATTTTATGGATAACTGAGGAACCCTATATGCGATTTTCCCTTATATTTTTATTCAGCCAAACCCCTGAAATTATATTCATGCCATTATTTTTATCCAGCCAAACCCCTTAAATGTGAAACTTCGTGTCAGGAACATATAGGTCTGCAGTAATAAACTCATGTTCTAATAGTACCGAGCTACCCGAACAAGTTTTCGGGTTTTGCATTCTACAATTTCCAAATTTGGGTTTACATACCACAAGTTCACTATTTAGTTTTACCATATTGTACGGAGTATAGAAATGTAAGGTACTGACACAAGCTCCGAGTTCTTTCACACATTTTAATGGAATAAATTTGATGAGGAATAAATTTTACTGTTTTGGCACTGTTTCGATATTGTTTGGTATTACTTAGCATTGTTTGACACTGTTTTGCACTGTTTTGATGTAGATAATTTGTCAAATAAGGAAGTGAAAAGTTTATTTTGGGATATCCAAATAAAGAAAGTGGGAATTTGTTTTAGGGATATTTGTAAAGTACCGCATACATTATTCAAGTATATTTGTGCATTATCAGGTGTCATTTTAAATGTGAAATGATGACACATGACTAAAAAATAACGATAAAAACTGTTGTTGAATTTTGCACAAAAATTACTGTCGTCCTATATTTATTTATAGTAATTCTGATCATATTCTTACAACGAAACGCTGATTTTTCTAGTAAAACTAAAAATATTTTGAAACTAAAGAATATAACTTGATAGTAATAGGTCTACTAATTTGTCCCTTATATATAACTTTGTAAATTTTCCTTTTTGATCATTATATTAGTTCAAAACATTTATCAATTTTTTTAATCAATTATTTTGTGATTCATATTTCCTTCTGAGTTTTACAGATTTTTATCACACAATTTTGTACTATGTACTACCTCCGTCCCGTTGGAATGTTCCCGTTCGGTTTACGATGTTTGACTGACAATAAAGCAATTCGATCCATGTTCACACTCCGCTTATTTTTAGAGTAAAATTTACATATTCAGAAACTACATTAAAACCGCTACAAAGCCTGATCAAGAAAAGTTCAATTTGATAAAAATTTGATATATAAAGTAAAAGATTAGGAGTGACCTAAGTTGACCAATGAATAGTGAACGAGAACATTACAACCGAAAATTGATAAAGAGATAAGGGAGGGGGAAAAGGCAAGTGCAACAAAAGCAAAAACTTACTCAAAAAAAGTAAAAGTTCGAATCATGCATGGTAAGCCTAATTTGGATAAAAAGTAGATGTATAGAGTTTTGGATTAGATGAAATAGGTCCATCATCATGGCCTACCGCCCTACCTGCCCAAATTTATGAGATTGTCCTCCTCCCAAGTCAAATCTACTTCATCCGTTCCATTGAAATTTGTCAACCTTCTCTTATTACGTGTTCTGGCCCAAAAAACTTTGTCACTTTTCTAATAAAACAATTAATTTGTGGTTCTAGACATTTCTCTCTTTTCTGTACAAATTTCAACCACAAAGTTTTACTTTTCTTATTTCCCACCCACTTTGCACTTGGCAAAGTCCACCGGGACGGAGATAATATAATTTAAAAAATGAGATTTATAATTGTAATATTATAAATGTTCTGTTTTTTATTATTTGATGTTCAAGTGAAAAATAAATGGTAATTTATTTTTGAAATAGAAATGAAAATATTTAGAAATAGAAATGAAGAACTTAATCAAATTGAGACCGAGAAAATAATTTTTTATGCAAATACTGATATATTGAAAATATAAGTGATAAATGAAAGAAATTTTTTATACTTTTTAGTATATACGTAGTATTATAATACTAGGTAATAACTTTAGTCAAAACTCAAAACTTATATTGATACGGGTAAATAGATTAAATTATGTTCTTTTTTAGTTGAAAAAAATGAGAAATTTTGTACTATTCACAAATTCTACTTTAACTACTTTATTTATTTACTGATGTATTATAATTTAAAATTTTAAAATATATTGTCAAATATGATAAATATATAAATATATTGTCAAATTTCTCTAATTTTAATCTTTCAAATCATACGAGTTATTTTTTAATATTTTTATAAAAAAGAAATTAAAGATACTCCCACCGTATTTAAAAATTCCCTACACTTTTCTTTTGGGATGTATTTAAAAGTTCCCTACACTTCCATTTTTGGTAAGTTTATCATTTATAAAATACTCAATTATCTTTACTTTATCTACTTTTTATCTTCTCTTTCATACATTTACACACTCTCTCCAACTTTTTCTACACTATTCATTACTTTTACTATTCTATCCTAAAATATTGTGCCAATTCAAAAGCAAATGCAGGAACAAGAGTATTGATGATCAAATTTGTGCACGTGAAAAGTGAATTGTTGTGACATACCTGCATCATGGTCAAGATAAACGGACGGTAGTTTGTGAGATATTGTTTCGCCATTGAAGACTATCTTGCCTTCTTCTTCCTCAACTGCACTTCCATTATTCATTGTCATCGGCTCAGGGGCGGATCCAGGAATTTGAGATGCCCTGGGCTGAATAGAAATTATACTATGTTTAAATATTAGAGTGGTGGGCTAAACGTGAAAAATGAAAAAATTTACACTAAAAAAATCGAAAATTTTCTAAATTGCCATGGGCTTCAGCCTACCATAGCCCGTGCATAGATCCTCCCCTGCATCGGCTCTTCACTTTTGTGCTCGCCGTTATTCACTACTTCAGCGATGAGTACATTATCATCGACAACTGTCGTGACCTCCTCATCACCCGGCCGCCACGCCGCCGGAACGTCCGTCAAGAACGACGACTCCATTTGACACTCCCCGCCGTTAAATTGTTGCATTACCTCCATGAATAGTTTATTCTTTGATTAAAAGCACCAGTTTCTAGCCTCCTTAACCCAGTAGTCTTCGGCCACCTTAAATACTGAAAAAACTCGTCTACGGAGGGTGGCCGGCTATGCATATACTATTCCCTCCTTTCCCGAATCTTTGCCTCGTTTTATCTCTCCATCGGTCCATCACTCCATCCCAATATATTTGTCTTGTACGGAGTATAATATGAAGAGGCCGTTTGGAACAACTGGTTTTCGACTTATCAACCATCTTTTTCATCAAATACATTACTTTTGCTTTCGCGCGCTGAATTCTGAATTGTGTAATAAACATAAAAAGTAAGGTTGAAGTTACTTTTCTGGCTGTATTGGCTGAAGTTACTGTAGATGACTATTTTAGCTATTTTTACATATAATTTTTTTCTTTATTTTATTAATAAATACTTCCTCCGTTCTTAAATAAGTGCAACAGTCAACATTTCACATTTGCTGATACACAACTTTGACCATTAACATATATAACTCTCTATTATTAAAAAAGTTTACATAAATCAGATTTTGAAAATTTACAATGAGGCAAATTTAGTAATATTTTTTTCAAAAAAAATATTAATACATCAATAAATAAAATGTAGTCAAAATAGAACATTGAATAGTGTAAAATTAGAATGTTGCACTTATTTAAGAACGGAGGTAGTATATTTTAAAAATAATTTTTTCTTAAATCAGCAGAATCAGTCAATGCAGCCACTTCAGCCAGAACTTCATAAATTTCAGCAGAAACAGCCAAATCAGCCGATTTTCGTGCTACCAAACGGGCTCTAAGTATATGATAAAATTTGGACGGCTACAATTCACTCTTACTTTGTTTATAATTTATTAATTTAATATCAATCACATAATTTCACTTTTCTAATAAATAAATATGACGTACATTACAATATTGTCTTTTTTTCTCGATGTTAGAGAGATAAAAGTAGTAGTACATTTGTCTTGGTAATATTGGAACATTAGAAGGTAGTACAATTATTAAGAAAAGTGAATTTATTTGATTGATATTGAGTTATTGACAATGGGCTTCGGAGTCTATTTAATAGTTTTTTCGTAGCTAGAAAAATTAGCATTTGTGCGATACATATGAACAACTTTCTTAAGAAGATCCATAGTTATTTCCTACACAACTGAATACTAAATTTGTTGCCCACTTAATATGTTGGATCATGTTTATTATATGTTGGACCATCACTTGATGTTGGGCTCGAAATAGATTACTTAATAAGATTGTCTCATTGTTTTAAAAGCTGAATTTATAAATAAATTAATTGCATATCTTAAAGACATAACTACATATGAATGACTAAAATAATGTTGTCTATAAAAATGATCTTCTATGTGTAATGGCTAAAGTGATAACTTATTTATAGTAACTTATGTTCAACTATTATACGTAAGTAACTATGAGATTGTACTATAGTAACTACTAGTGATACTTTTGTAAAAAAAATCATTTTAGTAACATTTTTGGAAAAACTTCTATCTTAATTGCTCTAAATTAATTTAATGACTAAATTGTATCCAAGGGATCCAAATCACTATTTTCTTCTTGTTAAGGTCCAACAACTACCATGGGTAGTTCAAAAAAATTTAAAATTGACCTATTAGCGCACATTTATAAGAGGTCCATGAAGTTGAGAATAATTCATAAAAATGACGCAATAATATTATTGACTATCATAAAATCATAATGTTAAGTCCAAAATATTAAATCATAATTCTTTTATTTCCATAATTATCATTGATTATATGCTATATATAATGTTAGATTACCACAAAAAATAGAAACATGAGGACTACCAACATGATACATTAGCTATCTATTCCCCCAAAAGGTTGCATCCCCAACCCTAAGGATCCACATACCCCGATTCGACAAAGCATTTGAGAGGTTGTAAGTAACGGTGACCCAGTCAGTCAACTGGTAATAGACCGTGTACCCGTGTATACCAAAAAGTTAGCCCTACACATAAGAGTTGTAGCTTCCACACGATCGCTGCGTGTTGCAATCCTTGGTCAATCGATCCTCCAACTTTCCATCACTCGATTAACTGAGCTAGCCGTGCGGGTATGGAAATATAAATAAAAATAGAAGGGAGAGCGCGTGGTACACAGTCTGAGAGCAACGTACACAGTGACACAAAGGGACGGAGCCAGAAACCGATGTCAGTGGTGTCAATTTAACAAAGCACTATTTTTTTAAGCAGAATACTATTATATAATAGTCTATACACATATAAAGCAAAAAAGCAAATATTGTCACTAATAAATTAAAGTACTAATGCACAACTGTCCACAGCGCGTTTTCATATTTTGAAAACGTTGTACAATTTTTTCTTGGGAAAAGTAACAAATCTGCCCTCGAACTAACTTAAAAAGTGCAAAGCACCCCTTCTATAGGAGGCTCTGTCCGGCCTTCTCCATTTGGGGCGGTTCCCAGTGGAATTTTTTGATAAAATTTTTTCAGCATCTTCTTCATTAAGTCTAATTTACTCGTACCAAATTTTAGCTAAAAATTCAATCAAGAAGGCAGTTACATGAATTTTTGTAGAGAACTGCGCAATTAAAGAGCACAATATATTTCAGAAACTCATTATAAAGTCATTTTGAATATTATGAACAGTCATCTTCAACTTTTTTGGGAGCATTATTCAAAACAACATTATGAATGTTATTATTATGATTTGGTAGAAAAGTTAAGAGTTCAAAAAAATTCCCTTGGTTACTTGACTCTTCTGATTCATCACAACCTCGAAATGCTAGCCCTTGACACAAGAGGAACTGAGTAGAAGCAGTGAATCTAGTACGATATTCACTTCAAGCTTGATTTGTCTGTTTAATCAAAACTGATTGAATGTGTTGATTTTGATTCATCAAACACTCAACCTTTTTCACAGCTTCATTGTGAGCACTATTAGGAGGTCCTACATGAATATTAAACCTCTCTTTTTTATTCCAATGAGAAAAACCCTCCGTTATAAATGCCTCACCACCACTTTGTTTTCCCACGTCTTGTCTAAAAAGATAACAATGTACGCAATATGCCGATTTTTCGATATACTATATTCTAACTAATTCCCATCATCATCAAACCACTTTCGGTTAAACCGACGCAAAACATTGCCTATGTTTTTTTTTGGGAACGTATGGTTGCATGGTTGACATGGGTCATTATGTAAATATTTCCTTCATACCTTATCTTGATCATCCGGATGATAATTAGAAACTCCTTTTATTTGTTCGGGATCTAACGGAAGCGCTTCTAAATCAACTTCAACACGAGTTCTCTTAGAATGTTGTAATTGTTGTTCACTAGATTTTCCACATCCTTTTGGAGTGATGTCAGTTTATAATTTATGAAACATTACATACACCTATACAAAGAACTTTTATTTTTCAGTGGTGTCAATTTTAGAATTTCGAAAAATTTTATATACCTACTTAAGAGGGGAAAAAATTTCAGTGGTGTCAATTGACACCACACCTCCCTTAGCTTGTTGGCTCCGTCCCTGGTGCCACACCACTCCCCTTGGTCATATACATGAACTATTACCATTAATTAGAAGCATGTGCAAACATTTCTTTATTTCTTCCTATTCCAACTTGGTGCATGGGAACATATAATATGATTGCTCCCTCTTTAAAGTTTGTCTACAGCAAATTTAATTACTAATAATTAGTTCTGCCATTTCAACCCGAAAGTGCAAATCAATAAAACAAATAAAATGGGATTAAGTTTGAGACCTTAAAAAGAGAAAATATTAAGTTAAAAAGAGAAAACAATAAGTTGTATCTATAAAAAACTAAAAATTTGAAGACAATTTAATGATTATTTACTAATTTACCGGACCACGCCCAACCTTACTCGTTTAATCTAAAACGATTGACCTGCCGAGCAGCTGGAAAATCAAACTTTTATTTCGTTTATACACTTTTACCAATAGTTCTTTATAAATAGCTCTAGGTAGGACTAAAGATAATCTAAAATGCATAAATAGGACCACTACATTTTAAACCTCCTAAAATAGAACTAAACATTGATTTCTACCCTAAATACCCCTAAGGGTATTAATTCATAATGAAATGTTTTAATTCATAATAAAATCTTAAATAATAATAAAAAATCGAAAAAAATAATAATAGAATATTTAAAAAAAATATTAAACAGAAGTACATGAAACAGTTTGTCTTATTTGTCTTATTCAGGTAATTCACTCATAGTTCTTTATTTCATGTGGAATATTTTAATATGTGATGTCGTTTGTTTTTATACGGGAGTTCTAGGAGGACTTTTTTTATGGTTGTTACTTGTTAGTTGAGTCAAGTGGGATAGCTAATGTAAATTGTTACCAAACGGACAATTGATTATTATTTATAAACAGAAGTAGCCTATTCGACCAATTTTAATGTTATCAAACAAACTCTTGATTACAGGTAAATGATCGTAAATTGGACGTATAACATTAAAATTGGGCGGATGATTAATAAAATAGCACTAGTGATTTGGGATGGAAAGTCTTCGGCATCTTTAATATTATCTTGAATATCTTATTGCTCCAGTTGAAAATTTAATTTTCCTGAGCAGCGCTTCATCACACAGAACATAATTTATTGCTATGACATCCTTGTTGCCCTCTATTAATTTCCGGTGCCTCATCATCAATTAATTTATCAATTAATTAATGCTCATTAGCATCAAGTTTTGTCTTTTGGTGCCTATTAGGCTATTCTATTAATCAGAACTCAGAAGTTCAGAACCGATTATTCTTTCAAAAAAAAAGTTCAGAACCGATAATATTAGAAAAGAGGGAATGCATTTGTATTTTGTAAATTAGGGGATGAGTGTGTCTAGGACTTGGGTAAGAAGGGGTAAAATCTTTAAATAAAACGTAGTTGTTCGATAACATCACTGTGACACTCTCAAGGATAGCACATGTTCGAAACACATCCCTATCAAAGAAGCTGATATTTAACAGAACAAATAAAAAATAGTAACTACACAAGAAGAACAAGGAACGTTGTTTTAAAAATTTTCAAAAACTACAAATGCAACTCGCCCCCTATTTACTCCCCTGATTAGAACATACGGAGTAATTGTTATTTCGCAGACAGTTGGAAAGTGACAACATAAACCAACTGTTATGACTTATGATAACGAGAAGAAGGAAGCATCATGTTTAGATTTGGACAGAATAGAGGGCATATCAAGTTATCAACATATTGAATATAACCACCCTTTATATGGAGCTATACGAAGTAGAAAAAAGTCTTTTTGTACATGCATAAGGGCATGTTCCATTTTGTCTGTGACACCGATAAAGTGAGAAAAAAATGCTCGTGCAACACAATTTTTTTTTTGTCACCTTAACAAATGAGAAAAAAAATTGTAAACACATAAAACGGAACATATAAACGACGTGTACATGAAACCGCTTTGTACAAGGTAACCGTTCTAGACATTGTGCATTTGTGCAATTGTGTGTCCTGTGTGATTTCACCCAACAGTGAGCAACAATTATAAGGCTTTCAGTGTGCCAACCACTTCAAATTTATATATATGATGTTTTTAGAGGCCGTTTGGCAACACTGTTTTATGGCTTATCAGGCTTATCAACTAACTTTTTCACCGAATAGGTAACTTTTGTTTTCACGCACTGAATTGTGTAATAAGCGGAAAAAGTAAGGTGGGGGTTACTTTTCTGGTTGTATTGGCTGAAGTTACTGTAGATTACCATTTTAGCTATTTTTACATATAATTTGTTCTTTATTTTATTAATAATATATATTTTAAAAGTATTTTTTCTGAAATCAGTAGAATAAGCCAATGCAGCCACTTCAACCAGAACTTCATAAATTTCAGTAGAATCAGTCAATTTTCATACTACCAAACGGGCTCTTAATTGTACTGAAATTTTCTGATCTAGTCTAGTAAAATACTAAATTTTGCAACTGTTGAAAATCGGTCAAATTAAAAAAAAAAACATCCTAAGTGAATGGGTGGATTGGCAGCCCTTGTAAAGGTCAGACAATAAAACACTTAATTCGGCCTTGCCAAAAACGAAGTATAACGAGGCTATGCTCTCTGTCTTTCTCTAGTCTAACTTTAGGGCAAGCATGTCAGTGGCCCATTGAGTTAAGTGGCCTGCCAGGCCAAGAAAAACATACGGAGTATATCGTTTGGATACTGGACCTATAACCTCATCAATAACCTTTAAATATGAAATGGGAAATTCTATTCACACTCCTTTTGCTAAACACACACACCCACTTCCGTAAGACATGAATACATTTTATAAAATTCCAACTATAGCCTTCAAGCAGGCTGGGCTCCTTTGGAACTTTCAATACCGCAGCTGAACTGTCAGTGTGAAGAAACTGAATGGAAATCAGTGGCGCCGCCGACAAGTTGAAATGGCACACCAATTGAGACAAGAAGATGTATTCCATGGATTATGGATACATCTGGTTGCCAAGGAAGGAGCAAGAGATCTATTTTCAGCTTCCCCTTCTTTTCTATTCTAATGTCTCGAATACGCCTCTCTTGAAGCCATCCTTTTATTTCCAAGCAAGAGAGAGAGCGTCCAGCAGCCTTATGAATCAATCAAACCAAAAACAAGTTTTTGGACAAGAAGAGAACTAATAAAAATGACCGACGAAAGATGATCGATGTCTTCTGTGTGATTTTGAGGCTCTACGTAAGAGGACAGGAGAGTGTAATACCCGAGTGGCCGAGTATATTTGTATTAGGGTAAAACAGACATTTGAAATAATTTTATTTAATTAAATTAATTAGGTGACTGTGATTAGTAAAATTGTGACTGTGAATAGAATTACCCATATGAAATATGATCATTTAGGCCCGACATTTATCTGAGGTTTAGTGTAATAATACAGAGTATCAATTATATCCCACTTTGTTGCGTGGCAAATCCCATAAATTATATCCTAGAAATTAAAAGAAATCCCATAAATTAACCATTCATGTGCCACTAGATAAATGTTAGAATTCAATCAATTAATCACGCTTTGGATCACGCAACGCTATGGGTCTACCCCAACTACATAGGCTTTGAATCGAGAAGCTCCTTGTAGCATTGTTTGACATAGTATGGTTTGGTTTGAACAAGCTCTTGTTGTATATGGAACTAGTCATATGGCCTGGTTTTGAGCTACCTTCACCGCGGGTTCTGTGCATATGGATTATTATGGAGGTACATTCCTTCATCAACTTCTTAGATCAATGAAAGAGAGTATTTTGGAGCAACATAGAATAAAATCCAGTTGACCAAACTGTCGTTTGACTTGTCCTCACATGTCCAGACCAGATTTATCTTGAAAGAATGGTAGTATATGGACCAAGTATTTCACAAGAAAACCCAAATTGAGGAAACCAATGGGCATCTTTAGGCTTAGTCAAGCCAACGAGGAACTCTTTTATTCATTTAGGTGTAGGATTACATATATATACAAGGTAGACATGAAAGGCATTAATGGAGCCTGAAGCTCTATGAAGAAGATGAACTAGCTAGACAAAAGGCTAGGGTTTCTACAAGTGTTCCCTCTCACTCACACTTGATAAGGAGTATATTGGGAGCCTAGTGTCTACTGTCTAGGAAAGTGTTTTGGCCTAGCACGTTTGGGGCAGGCTCTAGCTTGTTAGGTTTATAGTAGTGGCTCAGACCACTACCCCAAATTCCCAACATCGAGTATCCTTGAATGTAGAAAAGAAATGGACAACTTAAAAGTTAAAATGGAGGCATAATCAATTTTAGAATGTTGAAACAACCACTTTCCCAGTTGAAACAAAGATGAGTAGAATCATAGCAATAGCTTCTAATGAATGCAGAAGCTATAAAACCCCGATTGAGTATTTGAATTCCCCCCTCCACAACTCCACAAGTGTCAAATGTGTTAATATAATGACGGAAGGGAAAGTGTTCATATATTGATGCCTCAGCGCCAGAGTCCAGACCCCTCCCTAGTTGTACATTACAAAAACATTTGCAACATGCTACGGCTACCAAATGGTACCGGATCAAGAATGGGACATGCGCAGCCCTCAGAGCAAAAATAGGCAACACTCGTTTAGGAAGTCGGCGAGTCAGTCATCTACCATACAGTAGTGAGAACTAAAATGACTTCATCTGAGTCATTTGATTGGAGGGCTGCAATGTTGGTCCAGGGACATCCATCATTCCATCCTCCGGGAAAGTTGACTTCTTTTAGCCATGCAGAAAAATGGTATCTAATTTTTTTAAAGTTCTTCAGTTCTTCCCATGTATGAAATTGCTCAAGATTAAAGATTTGAACTTTTGTTTAAACAATGAAAAGTGCTACCCTAGTATTATATATATTGCCGCTTGGAAAAAAGAATCAATACAACACATGTAGAATTCAGAACAAAAAATACATACACAAATAAATAATGTCTAAAGATGGTGCAGCCGCACAAGGCATCCCAATTCTAATGGCTGGCAATGTCGCAAGAACTCTTAAAAGATTAATACAGGTGGCCCAAAAAAAAAATTATCCATATAAACTTTATATTAAAAAAATTACACTTAGAAGAGCTTTTTGCCAAACTTGGGTGAACCAGTGGCAACATGGCTGGCTTGGCCCACCCTAGCTATGACAACCCATCATGAGCACAAGATTGATGTAGAATAAACAGAGTATGGCCCACACATTTTCCATGTATACATTTAAAGAGGGGGGTATACTTATTAAAACATGTCATGAAAGTACCTATGACACAGAAGGTTAATCACGCAATAGGAACCAGCTGCTATTCATCGGACACTTTGAAGAATGTATACGAGAGAATTAAGTTGTTGATACCATCCATCTTGGGATCTGTTTCAAACTCCGGATCAATGTAAAAAAATACCTACACATATATAGGATGTCTATTTCAAGCAAACATTTATAAAAAAAATGTGGTAATAATAAAAACGTAATTACTGAAATGAGTCAAACAACGCGATTAAAATAAAGTACTAGTGTTATTTACAGGCATGTCAATTTGTTCCCCAGGAAGAAGCCGCTGTTCCTCAAAGCAAAAGCACTGCACTTTATTGAAATAAACTGCAGCCTGAAAAAAAGAAGAAAATTATTGTTGTTTGTCACTTTGTCATGTAGAGTGTACTATGGTAGTAGCAAACAACCATAGAGAAACATAGAAAAGAGCTCTTAAACTTTTGGCTTAAAAAAGTTGAAATGTGTGTTTTGAGGTGTTGATTTTTGCTTAAATTAAACAATTAAAAGCTAAAAATTGGAAGCAAGTGGTGAAGTGTTTTAAACTGCTTTTCACATTATCTATAAAACAAAAAGCAATTTTTTACTACATTTTCTATAACACAAAACGCACTTTTTTTACTAAACACTACCCACTTTTACTTTTTCAAAAGCACTTTTTCTTTAAATCGCCTTATTTAGATATATTATATATGAGAAATCATCATGTCAGGCCGGCCTGACGGGCTGCCCCGTCCGGCCAAGCCCGTTTGGGCACCTTCCCGGTGGAATTTTTTGATGAAATTTTTTGAGCATGTTCCTCATCAAGTCTAGTTTGTCCATACCAAATTTCAGCTCAAAATTCGATCGGGAAGGTTGTCAAATGATTTTTGCAAGTTAACTGGTCCGGAATATGTATTTTCCGGACCAGTTAACTTGCAAAAATCATTTGACGACCTTCCCGATCGAATTTTGAGCTGAAATTTGGTATGGACAAACTAGACTTGATGAGGAACATGCTCAAAAAATTTCATCAAAAAATTCCACCGGGAAGGTGCCCAAAAGGGCTCGGCCGGACGGGGCAGCCCGTCAGGCCGGCCTGATGAGAAGAGCTCTCTATTATATATACCTTCATAGGAGTGACATTATATGTAGATACACCCGTTATTGGAGTAGAGCTCCGATTTTCAGCAGTGTAAAAGGCAAGGGCACTCTCTCCTGGCTTTACTCTTACCTACACAGGAAGCCACACAAGTGACACAACATTTCCAGGAAACAAAAAATGCATTATATCCAGATATAAAACAAAAGAAGACAATAATGATAGTGTCAATAAGAGCACCTCTCGTTGTGTAGGAATAAACTTCCAAGGCATTCCATCAGCAACGTCAGCATTAAATTGTACAACCACCTCCCTAGCAGATTCAGGCAACTATTATGCACCTCATAAAGAAGCATATATTTATCCATTGCAATTAAAAACAAAACATTAGTTAAAGGGCTGGATAAGAATATCATATCCTATTTGAACAATGTATTAAAGAAGTTCTGCCAAATAAAACTAAACCACATTTGACTTTTTTGCCGAAGATGTTGAGTTTTGACCGATGTTTGTTAGCAATACATTTTACAGGCGTATATAAATCTGTACTTTTACATATGTGGTTCTTTTGTTGAGTTCCTCATAAAAGGAAAATGAGAAACCATAATATGCAACTGAACATTCTTTAAGAACAAATTATCCATATCAAAGGACACTTATAAGAAGGGGTCTTGAATTGATGTAGAACTCAGATAAAAGCCTCCTCACTTCCCTATGTTATCCAATGACAACAGGCCTGAACTGATTTGGGTTGGACCATTGGTGAAACTCAACACTGATGGGCACTAAAGGGGAACAGGAGTTGGCTCACTTTATTCACAGAATTCAAAGTGATATTGGATTTTATAATGTTTATTTGGAGGCTGATAACTAAACTACAGAACTGTGTAAGTTATACAGTATGTCTCAGGGAGTTAGCTCACATTATTGAAGAATTCGAATATACAATATAGAGAGGGAAGAGATTCCTAACTTTTATTTTTGCTAATCCTTTGCTCGATGTTTTTTTAGTGTACTCCTTTAAACCAAATTTTTTTAAAAAAGAAGAAAGCAAAAAAGTATAAGGTACCAAAAAACAATATATTTGCATGGCTAAAGCATATTTAAGCCATAAAACTAAACCTGGTGCTGACAGTTCCATCCTTGGCATGCCGAGCAATCTTTTCTTCAACGCTCTGCAAACCATAAAGATAACCAACACATCAAGAGTGATAGACATCCACTTATGTTAATTCAATGAACTCGGTTAGAGTAAAAACCAATTGTATGGAACAATAGTTAACTTAACTGTTTTAGCTAGACATATACACACACACAAAATATGTTAAATACAATCAATCATGCATATTTATAATTTTACTAAAAAAACATTTCACTATTATCATTTCAAGGAAGATTAGAAATATGGATGGGTGACTATTTAGAACATAAATACTTTTTTAGGGGAAACCTAATGTATATTTATGGCTAAATTAATTACGTGATACACAGTCATACATGCTATCATTACTCACTCAAGTATACCTCCTTGCGTGTAACTGTACCCCCATAGCCTGTAGCTTGGCAGAACCTCCTATACAGAGGAACTGCTGCATAACTCAATCCTACCATCCCAAAAACCAAACCTGTCAGGTAAAATAACATCTTCTTTGATTTCTTCTCTACGGAAGCTGCTTTAGTAGCATATTGGTGCCGGAAGTTCAACAATGAACAAGATGTTGCTATACTATGCCTTCCCGAATTGGAGAATATGATATTGGTCTCAACTAGTGATCTGAACTCATGCCTTGACAACAAGCTGCCAGGTCCAAAACACCCATGGAGCGGTAAGAGCAGTGAGAAAAACAATAGCGAGTAGTTTAATAGAGAATATTAAATTAGTAAAAGAGCATCTCAGCAAAAATGTATATAATATTTTAGACAACACCAACAGATTAAAAAGTATTTATGAATAAATAACTGAATGATGATGTAAAAATAAATAAGCAATGCATTTCAGGGCAATAGTTTATTTTACTTTTAAAACCATTTATTTAATTGAAAATTCACTCCGTACACTTTTCTGCGATGAAATGCTCAAACTGTTATATGATCCCCAAACACTCCAAAAGCTCCACTTTGTAGCTTTATGTAAATTGAACTAGATAATTTATAATGGTGCATTTGGAGCTTTTAAAAAGCTCCAAATGGAGTGCACCTAAAAACCTGCGTTTAATGCTTTTTAAAGCTATCAATGATGCATAAACTCTCCCAAATTGAGGCTAATTCAGGAATGATTTAAATATCTATATACAAAAGCAAGTGGAAATTTTGACCATTTCCTGCCTAAAAATACAAGTCAAAATGGGTCAGCCAAGCTAGAATACAGAGTATCGAGCTTCGGCATACGTGGGAGTTGCCTGCGCAGATACTAAAGCGTAAGTTGTCAGAGTTAGTAGGCAAACCTTCTTATCCTTTGGTTTTTCGGATTCCTTTGTATATGAAGTAAAAATCCAGCTAGCTCTTGGTTTCTCGTGCCTATTAAAATACGGAGTATACTATGTAGTCTGTTTCAGTCATTCTTTGTATTAATCTTAATTTCATTCTTTAGTTGGAGATTAAATTATTTGGGAGAATTCGACTTCACACCCCACTTTTTGGGTGATATTAGACTTTGCACCCCGTTTTAAAAAAACTTTGAATTTGCACTCCACTTCACTTAATAATCCTTTAGGTTTGCACCCCATTCAGGAATTTTTATACACAAAATGTTATATGATGGGGTGCAAAGTCAAAGCTTTTACAAAATGGGGTGCAAAGTCCAATCACCCAAAAAGTGGGGTTCAAAGTCAAATTCCCCCAAATTATTTCTATCCAGACAAGGCTGTGAAAAGTATCTGGTACACTACGCCACCCTAACTCCTAAGACACTGATAATGAAAGAAAGCATGAGAGGAAGCAAGTTTGAGAGCCTGGAGAGGTGGTGGAGGGTACGTAAATCATATGGAGTAATATTTTAGGAAAATCATACTCTGTATTTACATATTTTCATAAAAAAATATTTCAGATAAATTTCTTAAAAGTATCATTGAATTTTACTAATCTAAATATATACTCCGTATATCAAGATTAAATTGATAGGATGACGCGTCTGGGGAAAAAATGCCAAGTGTAGGGTTTGAATTAAATAATTCAATTAAAAATGCTAATTTAATTGAATTAAGCGTTGAGACTTCATCTGGTTATGAAAATTTTAAGAGGCTGAAATGACTTACAGACAAGCAGAACCATAAATGACTTACACTAAAACGCAAAGGGATCTGAGTTGAAGGAAAATATTTGAGATCTGATATCTACTGGTAAGGAAAGATAAAATGCAGAAAAAAAGTTACCAAGAAGCACTAGAGTTTAGAATTTGTATTAGTTGGAGTTAGTAGATATCTTGAGAGGAGGGCTTACATTTACAATTGTTTTTTGCAGAAATTTAAGATCTAAGATGTAGGAAGCACGTTTCAAAATCAATGCATTTGTCATTATATTAGTAGGAAAAATAAGTATCTTGGAAATAGATTTTGAGGTTAGTTTCAATATTCAAACACTCTTAAAGACCGAAACTACTTGAAGTGAAATAATGTTTTGCTAAAGAAACTTAGTTTGCTGTGCTCCCTAATTTTTTAGATAATCATAAATAGACGTCACTCACAGCTATGTTTATCCTCTTCACTGCATGAGATTTGATAAGATAAATATCTGAGAATGAGATAAACTGATTTAATATCTTACTTTGTACTATATACAAAAGGAAGAGGAAATTTGGCTCAAAGTCCTGCCAAAAATCATGGGTCAAATATGACTCCGTATACTGTTAAAGATACTCCATATGTCTCAACTCATACACTGGATGATTGCGAATTAGATTAATGGGGAAGTGTTAAATGCTCAACGCATTGATAGCTTCTAGATCCATGTGTATAGCTATTAATTAATTTTCAGAATTAGCTTCTCCAGTACAATGCTAAAAAGCCCATGATGCCTCACAATTAATGCATCTCTCATCACGGAAGAATTGTTCAGCCCTAGATAATAGCAAGTGCAATATCGCAAAGTTGCTTCAGTACTTGATACAATTGGCTGCCCACTCAATCAAGTTTATATTTGTACTTCTGTCACTATATAAAATTTATTTTGTTCTTTCTACTTAATTTAAGGAAAATAGGATTTGTATAATATAATGTTTATTTTTTTAAATTGATCGACTCTTTTATAGTTCACTTAGAACATTAAATCTTTTTCACCTAATTAAAAAAAATATACTAAAAAAGATAAAAAAATATTGAATATCTTTTTATTCCGTGCATCGCACTGGAGAAAATCTAGTTCATTTCAAGGAAACAAATACGATAACAGTGCATCACAACACCTTAGAAGTTCTAAGCATATATACATATAGATGATTTCATAAAAACATGTAAACGGCTCAATACCTGGATGATGATAATGATGATGGCTGAAGATGAGTTCTATTATAAGAAAGAAGCACTCGAGCGCGTCCAACACGAAGAAGTGACATTTTTATTGACGAATCAATTCACAATCATCTGATGCAACAAAGATTTATAGGTTTAATAAATCTTCATGGGGTTGTCTCCAAGTTAGTTCAGTACTTCAGGCAATCTAGCACCATACTACCATCTAAAAATATGTAACTAGGTGCAAGGTTTGTGATGTCAGATAGCCACTTCTTTATGAACAGATTTAGTGGGTATATATGCTAAAAAATAAAATAAAGAAGGTGATGGCATTTATTGTAATTTTTCTAATCATGTTCTGTAACTTTATGAATACATGATAGAGGGGGATTGGTAGACTGTCAGTTACTTCATAGGGTCCAAATTGAGAAAGATGCCAATATGGTAAAATACTAAAATACAAGATGGAAACTTAGAAATTGAAAACATGATAAACGTTAATATATTAGAAATTGAATACTGAACTCCCATCATGTTGATTTATTATTAAACTCAACATCTCAAACAGTAGTCGCCTTACATACTGATTATATCAGTTGTTCATACCTAAAAAATGTTAGACGTCCACCCTAAATAACTCCAAAGCCGCCTTGTTTATAACATTATGACAGGATATATAATTACTTCAGCATTTTTTAAGTAAAAAAAATACACAGTTCGGAAAAACTCATTTTACATATTTTCACAAGACTGATACACATGGTAATGGTTATATCTATTGAAACAGATATAGACATCTATAACTCAACTATATCAGTTTAATAAAACTTGAAGTGGTATTCAGCACAATGAATAAATCCCAGAGATTTTGAAATGATAGAGTTGTATACGCCTCTCCGGGCTCTATTTAAATCTTTTGTGTATACTTATTCAGAAACTTATGAATTAATTTTATTCCCCATTTCAGGATATCAAAATCTAGATATCACCCATCCAAGCATATGTATAATTAGAAATTCGTTTGCGTATCCACATACCTTGGGTTACCCTGAAGCTATTATGCAAAAGTGTAAAGACTGAGACTAATAATCTAATACCTGGGCTGCGCTAGAACGTGGATTCTTAGGTCAGATTGCCACAACAGAAGAACTCCAAAGTCTGAAAGAAGAATAGAGCCACATAAGCAATAAAGCGGAGAATCAGCGTCAATCGGATATCGGAATTGCAGCTGGGCACTGGGCAGCCTCTTCTGGTCTATTTCCGGCCTTACTCAATCGGACACCAGATTCTGGAGTAAGGGAAATTCTGAATACAGCCACAAAATTGCTATTCACAGTTATTTAATTAAATTTTAATAAATTGAGCTATGTTAAATGACTAATTTTCCCTAATATACCACAAACAATCGACAACTGCCCACATCACCGAATATTGCTACTATACCTCACTCCAACCAAACAATTGATTCAATTCTAATTAATCTTACGGTCTCCGATTTGCTATCACCGTTTTGGCACTTGTTTTGATTCAAATTGACATGCACAAACTGTCGGTATATATCTGGTTGGAGAAGACGATGAACAGTGCCTTTGAAACTGAAACAGGTTTGGTTCCTGAAATTGGAAGATAGATGGGAAGCTTCGTACTGGGATGGCAAGGCTCAACCCATCCTTCTTTTGAACACAATTAAGAAACGGATTTTAAAGGAAACAAAATCCAGTTCGTTTGAGGACAATGTTTTAAATGAGTTTTTTTTTTCTGAAAAAAGTAGCTAAATGGAGCTAAAAAATCCAAAAATGACAAATTCAAGCTTGGAAAAAGGAATTTGATGGATTTCCGCCCAAGAATGCAAATGAAAGAGTTTGATTGTTTCATGAAAGTGCTCGTAAATTGCCAAGCAACCCAGAAAATGAAAAATGTTTCTCAAACATTTGGTGATAGAAGCTTACCTTTGCTGCTTGGATCTCTTCCAAAATTTTGGCTGGTTTCCGTCCTCTCAATACTCAGTAACAACGCATGAAGTAATTAAAATCTACGGGGCTACAAATGCTCTCTTCGACTCTTCCCGAATCTTTCCAAAAAAAAAGGGCGATGGGTCGGAGCTTTCATAGCCGGAGGCGAGGCTGTTTTAAATAAAAAGGGCATAATAGGCAATATAAAATAATTTTCCTTGTTACGAAAAATAGGGGTTGTACATAATGGAGGAGGGTTTGCTATAACTTTTAAATAAGGGGGTGTTTGGAACTGATTCTGCTTCTGCTTCTATTTTTAAGTGAGAATAAGAATTAGAATTTTCTGTTGTATGAAAAAGTGATTCTGTCTGAAGTGTTTGGTATTGATTCTGCTCTATAGAGAATCAGTTTTGAGTGTTTGGATAAGCTACTTTTGCAAACTGATTTTTGTGTAAATTTACCAAAAGGACACTATTGCTGCTGTGAAAATTCCATACCCTTATGGAATTGAATGTCATTCCCAGTTTTGATAGGCTTAAGTGAAAATCATATGCTTATTAGTTATTACTAAACCAAAGAAATTATTTGCAAAAAAAAAAGATGAAAGACCAACACAATAATTCGAATTGAGAGTATACCTTGAAATTATTACTAAATCAGTTAAGGTCTTTGTATAATTGTATTGGACTTGAGAAAATCAACGAACTCACAAGTTGAGAGTATACCTTGAAATTGAAGCCGAGAGATGAAGGTTGGAGAAACCGTCGCTGGAGAAGCCAAGCCCCGACCCAAAGGGTTGTGTCGCCTGGAGACAATTGTCGGAGAAGCTCTCGCAGGAGAACCCCAAGCGCCGGCCGGGTTTGTCGCACAGAGCCACAGAGACGATGGAGAAGAGAAGCTCTGGAGGGTAGACAATGCCTAAAGGGTTTGTCGCTGATTTGGGCTTAAGGAGTGTTTGGGTTTACTTAAAAAAAGAGCTTTTCAGCTTTTGACTTAAAAAAAGTTGAAAAGAGTGTTTTCAAATGACAGCTTCTGCTTAAATTAATCACTTAAAAGCTAAAAGCTGGAAGCAGGTAGAAGGGTGCTTTAAACTGCTTCTCACTTTTTCTATTACACAAAAAGTACTTATTTTACCAAACACTACCAACTTTTACTTTTCCAGAATCACTTTTTTCTCAAACACTACCAACTTTTACTATTAATCACTTTTCCCAAAATCACTTTAAAAAATCACTTTTTTAAAGTTGGAGCAATTGCAAACACTCCCTTAGCGAGAGTTACGAAGGATACTTTAGGAATAGAATTTGGTAGAATCAGAAGCTGATTTTCAGAAGCTGGTAGTACCCAGCTTCTACCAAACTGATTCTACACTTATTTTAACAGAAGTTTTTTAATCAGATCCAAACACCTTCCAAAGTGATTCTGCTTCAAAGTGCTCCTTGGGGCAGTAGAATCAGCTTCTAAAATCAGATCCAAACACCCTCTAAGTACTTCTAAACTTTTAAATTAAAAAAAAACTAAAAAATGTGTTTGCTAATTCCAACTTTTAATTAAAAAAAAAGTATTTTAAAGGTAAAAGTAGAAGTTAGAATATACTTCTTTTGTTCTTAAATAAATGCAACATTTTCTTTTTTCGACAGTTTCAATTTAATTGCAACCTTTCCCATTTAGAAAGTAAATAATAAGCCAATTTCCTTTTATACCATTAATTATTATACCATCTTCGGCCCAAATCTGACGATCTTTTTCAATTCCTCCTCCACCACCCCAATAATTCCACTGTTCAACTATCATCTTTACAACCTCCCCTTCTTTATTGATCTTTTACAGAAAGTGAAAAGAAAGAACAATAAAAAATGAAATCAAAATTGAAATATAAAAATAAAGAAGGACATATACCTCTGTTGGTATGAGTAGTACTATTAATCCTTTTTAAATTAATCTCGGGTATTACAATCACCCCCACTTAGGATCACAACGTTCTCATTGCGCCCTTAAACCAAACTCAATCAAACCCCAAAATCTTTTCTCCTGCTAAGTGCTAAGTGTCTGTCAGATATCCAACGGATCAGCATACTGTCGCAGGGTTGCTCTGATAAATGTAACATTCATTTAAGAATGTTACATTCAAATTAGTGAGCAGAACAGAGCAGATAGTAATACAATATTGACAAACTGAAGCGGAGAAAATTAGTGAGTAGAACAAAAAAAAATAACAAATAAGAGTCTAATTTGCAAATGCATATGCAAAGCTCAAGAAGAGGCTCTTACTCACTTAAAGTCTTCTCTCGTTTCTCTATATTTATCACTCAATTTGGAATCAGATACAATTGAATGAGTGCACATTCCACAATAAAATTTGGAGGTGTTCATGTTTGCTCTTGTCCATTCACAGTCCTGTGAAACACTTTGATAGTATGATACTAACAACTGAAAAGGGTAACTACAGTACACAAAACACCACAATAAATGAAAAAATATCCTTGTGAAAGAGAGCTAAAGTATATTCTATTTTGCTTAGATAAACACACTCATATTACAATACTATCCTAATCTCCTCAAAGTTGCAACCGTATAGATAAGATGACGATTATATCTTTTTAAGAAAGAGAAAGCAATACTATTACCTCATCAGCAACATGAAATTAAATCCTAAAAAGAATACGACAATATGAGTCTTGTCAGTGGTTCCTTCATCTTCATCAACAATTAGAATTTTCAAAACAGAACGATTGGTAACCTTGATACTGCAACATACAACTATCCATGGGTAAATACTAAATAATACCCATGGATAGTCATTAAGAGCCGTCATCTAGTCATTAACAGTTTCAACCACAGTCAGTGTCGGTGCCAAAATTGCACGGTCGCATAAACAACTCATATCACCTGCAGATTCAACATATTCTGGAAATATGCTTTCAACAATCGCAGCTATATTATTACTACCCCGAAAGTAATGATGGTCATGTTCGTACCTCTCCATGCTATTCACTCGGTATTTTTTGATCATCTTAATAAACTACTTGATGAAAGAAGATTATTTTTTCTTTCATTTCAAAACTGACCCAATTGTCAAAAAACACTTTGGGAATACCAAGAAAGGCAGAAAATTATTTGGTCTGAGTGGTTGCCTCTACACTGCACTCTATGTAAGGATAAGTTGTTAAATCGAGATTACCCTCCAAGAGTGTGCCATTATGGCTTCACACTATACATCTCAATATCATGACCGTCGAAACTGCATCCATGAACTCATGAATAAACATGGATTATTCAAATAAGACTGAGATTGAGGAGTTGTGTTGAGGAGTAGAATAAGACTACTTTCTTTACATCCAAATTGAACAGTTTGGAGAAGAGAAAACCTTGAGGTTGAGGAGTAGAATGTTGGGCTAGCTTCGCAATCAGTGTTCATCGCTAGGACTTTCCTACTATTTATAGGAAAGTGGAACGTGAGCTATGTATTCTCACCCTCTCTCCGATTAGTATTTAAAATACGGATACGCAGTAGTTGCATGTATATTATTTGTTATATTATTTTATTGGAATGTATTATTATAGAGCTAGTAGTCCAATCACCTACTGTTTTTAGATCCAAGTTGGGTTTTATAGCTGTTGTAGGGCGTAAGGAAGATGGGTGTCAACAGTAGCCACCTGTCACGCCCCAGACCGCATCCAAGCGCGTGTACAACCGCCATATGACTAAATGACGTCACTCGCAAGTCAACGTGACTTAATCATACAAGGTGTCCATGAACATAGTTCATACCATACTCAGTAAGTAAACATACATAACAATATCACATATTTGGATTGAATGAATCGCGGAAATATTCAATATTCAATCATGGGCCACACATGGCTAAAACGTGGACTCGCAGGCCCAAAACAAATGTACTTATTACAAAATATCCATGAGCATAGTTTATAGTTTAAAACAGTAAAAGAAGCACGAACCACATCTCCCTTTAGATCACTTCACCGAGCAAGGTGAGAATAGCAAGCTTGAGCTTCAACTTGAAATGGTGGGCCCCCCCGAAGGGGTCGGTGTCACGCCCCGGACCTATCCGGACACGTCAACAACCCGCCGTACAATACGAATAGTCAACCGCAGTCCAACACATTCATATTATACAAGGCGTCTTGAATATCATTCACACATATACATCCATAAACAAACATAATAAGAATTCATAACGCAGCGGAAAACATTATTTAAAACAAAAGAGCCACACAGGGCTATTCATGAGCACGCAGGCTCTATAGTAAAATATCCATGAGCAAGTTTAATATTATTTAAAAACAGGATGGAGGAAGCACGAACCACGTCTTCTCTCCAAGGAATCACTCGATCAACGAGCACAGGAAGCAAGCTCTAGCCTCAACCTGAAATGGTGGTGGGACGCCCCCGAAGGGGTCAGTACTCTATACGGCTATAAAGTACTGGTGTGGCAGGCATCTAATAGATATACAACAAGTATTTCAAACACAAGACCCTCAAGTAGGGTGATAGTACATTATGATTGTAACCCTAAGTTACCCCGTTTGAAAATATACTTACTTTATATAAAAGTCAAGTAGTCGGCCCGTGGGCCCGTTTTCATTTGGAAGTCACCATTCCCAACCCCGTGGCTATAAGCCACGACAACTCCTAGAGTCCAACCCTAGTACATGACATTGTATTCTAGAGCTCGGCTCTACCACATCACCATACAATTCATATACCTGGGGTCAATTTGCTTACCTTGCGTTCTAGAGCTCGGCTCTACCACATCACCACGCAAGTCCTAGAGCTCGGCTCTAGCTATACAATACATAGACTCCAAGTCTACCCTTACATGCATTCTAGAGCTCGGCTCTATCACATCACCATGCATTAAGGTCCAATTCTCAAGCAACCCTATGCCTAGAATTGACATATCATTAAACTACCATGGGTCATCCTTAAAGACTTCCCATAACTTAACCTTAGTTCCATACTAAGTTATTATATACACTTGAACTATATTCAAGCACCTTTCATACAATCCAATCCCTAAGATCAATTTAATCAATAAATCCCAATAATCATTAACTAGTATTTCAATACTATTAAGATTATTGTTATCAAACCATTATCCTTGTCATTTGTAATTCTCTACATATTTATACTTATGTAGCAGCAACTTAAACATTCATTCTCAATACACAAATATTCATTTAT